CAAAACATTATATTTTAATTGAAATGTCATAAACAATTTACAATTACAATTATTTCAGGCTGGTAAATCCATTTATAATAATATTAGCATCAATATGATAGTGAACAGTAAATTCCGGTTCGCTGTGCAAAATCAATTACTAAATTTATATTTAGTAAAATAAATAAAATTCGTGATTAAACACTCGATGTATTTCCGTTGTTTGATTGATTAAAGTTATAAGAAGAAAAAATATATAAGAAAAATTGGAAGGGAAATAAATGTTGGTCATAATTTTATCAAGAAATTTCATGCTCCAAGACGAACATTAAAATCTAATAAATTTCATACTCTTCCCGCAAAAATAAGATCCGGGCCGTGGAATTGATAGCAGCAGCGCTTCCTCTGAAATTCCATTTTTTTTTCTTCTTCTTCTCCCTTTTTTTTTCTCTTTCTCTTCTTTTTTCTTGCCCCGTGATGCAATATATCATTTAGATATGATAAAACGGTTTTTCAGTTTGGAGTGGATTAATAAATCATCGATTCGCCGAATGTATCTGGCGATGCATTAAAATGGGTATTCTGGTCGGCATTGAAATCGGTCCTCTCTCCTGTTTGGATGGATTTGATGAATGTCCATCATGCGGAGTTTAGTTGGTTTATGCGACGGGAAATCGTGCTTCTCTCATCCTACTTCTCTACGACCTCTTCTCTCTCTCCACCTCCAACACTTTCCATCCATCCATCCATCCCCGGTTCGGAAAACGGTTTTAAATAGGGATTTCCGAAAAGCTGGAGGAGTCGCGTAGGATGGCTTTCGTTAACAATCCCGAGGATTGATGAATCGGGCTTCAGATGCAGACATAACAATCGATAGTAGGCAGCAGCGTCTTCTCGCTTTATCTTTATCTCTTGTTCTCTGTCTTTCTCGTGGTTGGTTTGTGTGGTATTGGTAGGAGGAACAGGAAGTGCGGGGGTTGCTTCCCGTTTAAATGTCTTTTCTGGTCTGGCTTCGTGTGGGGATGGGTGGAGAAGAGCCGAGGAAGGAAATAAAATGGTTCAGACACATGGATCCCACACGGGCCCAGCCAGACAGAAACAGATTAAGAATGATTGTTGTGCGGCCAATATAAACCACGAATACACCTACAAATGTGTTTACGAGCTTTATTCCTCTGCTGAAAAGCAAGTGCTGTGAGGCTACGAACAGTCCACTTCATAAATCTGAACGTATCTCTAGTTTCAACAAAAAAATCTATCAATTTACAATATTAATGGATCATCAATCACGTTTATATCAAAAGTTTACGTTGTATTGAAGGAGAGTACACACTATGATCTGATGTAAATATTTTAGGATACTATTGTTTCACAATTTTACCAAAGTTACTTGTACAAAACGTAGTACATCTAAGTTTATCGAATGACAACTTTTACAAGTACTTACAATATTAAAATGTAATACCAGTCACCAATTTCTTGTTAATATGTGATCAGTTAACATAATTTTATACATATAAGAACGAATTGGCAGCTACATTATAGTTGGTATATCTGACATTCATTTACAACTTTTAGTTTGGATAAATTACCAAAGATACTTGTACAAAACGTGGTATATTCCAAGTATATCGAATGACAAGTTTTGCAAGTACTTACAAAATTAAAATGTTATACCTATCACCAATTACTTGTTGATATGTGATCAGTTAACATAATTTTATACAAATAAGAACGAATTGACAGCTACATTATAGATGGTATAACTGACATTCATGTAAATTGTATAGTCTGCATGCAGTACCGAACATCCTTATACAAAACGCAGCACATTCCAAGTTTATCGAATGACAACTTTTGCAAGTACTTACAAAATTAAAATGTAATACCTATTACTTGTAAATATGTGATCAGTTAACATAATTTTAAACAAATAAGAACGAACTGACAGTTACTTTATAGTTGGTACAACTGACATTTATTTACATTGTATAATCTGGATAAAGTACCAAATATACTTGTACAAAACGCAGCACATTCCAAGTTTATCGAATGACAACTTTTGCAAGTACTTACAAAATTCAAATATAATACCTATTACTTGTAAATATGTGATCAGTTAACATAATTTTAAACAAATAAGAACAAATTGACAGTAGCATTACAGTTGGTACAACTGAGATTCATTTACATTGTATAGTCTGGATAAAGTACCAAATATACTTGTACAAAACGCAGCACATTCTAAGTTTATCGAATGACAACTTTTGTAAGTACTTATAAAATTATAATATAATACCTATCACTTATAAATATCTGAAGAGTTACACATAATGTTATAGAAATAACAACGAATTGACAGCTGCACTACTCTTGGTAAAACTGACATTCATTTACATTGTACAGTTGTACTTGTACAAAACGTGGTACATTCCAAGTTTATCGAATGACAATCTCCCAAGTATATAAGAAATTTTGCGTATAATTTGACGTAATAATATAAATACCTCAGGAAGTTACTATACTTGTTACTATATGAGAATAGAACTCATATATATAAAGTGTATAAATTAGCAGGTAGATTATAGTTGCTTCTTCTGACAGTCATTGTATTGTCTGTATGCTTTATTATATGATTAGTTCACAAAAAATTCAAAGCTATATACTCTCTTTCTATAAACAACATTACATAACATTTCAATTAATATTTTAGGCTTTTTTATGTTTTTTTTTAGTATTTTTTATACAATATTTTTATTTCATGAGATAATATAATATATAAAAAGCACTTGTTCGACATTTTTTTTTATTGAAAGCACCATTCATTTGATACACTTTAAGAGAGACATACATATATGACACATTTTGTGCATATAGCAAAAGCCACGAACGATTCTGCTGATCGATTCCATGCATAATGTCCACGTCGACGCCGTTTGTTAGTGCCGACCACACATAACGTTTCACCATACTGCAGTGAATTTCGAATTACATGTTATGGACACGCAGCAAAAGGTCAGACCTCGTCCGTCGATTCTGCTTCGTATTTCCCGCTGCGAATCATATTTATCATTTTACCCATATATGAATTGGATAAAACTATTAACCTACTCCTTTTGTTTGCCCTCTTTCCCTATTATTTATATAAATCAGTTTAATCTGTTACTTTTTTTATCTTGAAATATTATGAAATTCATACAAATATTGAATGTAATTTTATTATTTTAAACAACATTTTTGGTTGTGTTTCAGCTAGATTTAATTACGTATAAAGAATAAGCAACAGTTTCTTTAAAAATATTAATTTGTAAATAATTAATGAAGTTACAGTACAAATTTATGAAAGACACTTTTATGATTATATAAATTAAGTTGATATATTGATTTTTATTCTGTAATCAATATTCATAGTTGTTCCATAATTTACATTAATCTTATATAATTTTTTTTATTATGTTATAGTATAGTTAATTTACAATTTTATTCCTGCGAACATTACTTAAATTTAATAATCAATAAAAATTGTCTATAAATATCAACGTTTATCTTTAAAAACAGTTAACTTGTAATTACAATTCAAAATCATAAAAATAATAGTGATTGTATTTCCAATGAGAAAAAAAAACTCATACTCGTTTTGTTTATTTGCTCATATTTATGTAAATGAAATCTTCGTAGCCTCCATTAGACTAAGTGGTTTTTTAAATTATTGTACACAGATTAATTTCTAATTGTTTATTGAAAATATTCAAATTGAGTATTTTATTTATTTTCCATTAGTTGAATCACGTCTCACATTTTGAATACGTATTAAATTTATATGAATCTTATACAATTTAATACATCGATTTAATAAATTTACTATGTTTATTATATAATTTTGATTAATTGAACTTTAAGCAAAAATTAATTTTTTTATGATGAATGAATAAAAATGAGAAAAACAAAATAAAATCATTTAAAATATACTACAAAAATTTTAATTTGTATACAAGTTATATAAAAGAAACAATTTTATATAAGTATTTACATTGTTTATTAATAAAAAAAAGCTCATTTATTGAGAATTTCATTTGAACAACTCTGATTTAAACTATTTTAATGTCATATGAAATTACGAGTGATGATTAAAATGTAATTAAGCTAATAATATTATTACTTATTGAAACTAAATTACTAACCTATAAAATTTAAAATTTAGAAGTTTATAAAATAGATTTCTTATAAAATTGATATTGCTTGAAAAATAACAATTTTATAAAAGTTGTAAATATAAGTAATGAAACTCCTGAATTCTAAAAGAAATAGTTTCTGAGAGAAAAAAGTAATAATCAATAAATACCAAATGAAAGTGTGTTTCTTAAGTACAGTTTATAAACTAGAAGAGATTTGCAAAACATTTATTATTTTTAAAGCAAATTTACCTTCAGGAGACAACAAACTGATTTTGGTGTAGAAACCAACTTTCATGGCTTGCAAAATGGAATTAATTTTGAATTTTGCACTAACTTTATTAATAAAATAAGAACTTCATGTGGAAACAAAACATACTTATGTATTTTCAACGTTTGTAACTTTGTTAATGAAATAGCTCATTCATCGAGAGTTGTAACGATCTCTTCTCACCTGTCTCGGATTTATAGTACACCCAAATCTATTATTATAGGGCCCGTGGGTGTACCTTAACGGTTTCTCCTTTAATTAAATCGCCTCGAACCCATTTGCATTTTATTTCCGTCCCGTACACTCATTATCCTTACATCTCTTTCGATCCCTGCCCACATCTGAAAAAAAAATAAATGAAAAAAACTCCAGTTGACTCCATCACGGGAAAACGAAACCCCCACAACCAGATGATGTACAAAAAAATAAACATGAAAAATATATAATTCTCTTTATCTTATCGCGTCTGGGAAAATTCCCAATTGGTTTTAACACCCACCGTGCGGGTTTTTTCCCAAGACAAACATCAATTTTTGTTTCTATACTTAATTTGTTTTTTTCTCTCTCTCTTGTTTCAGATCCAAGAAGCCCCATCAAGCTGGCTCTTCCCTTAAGTAGCGCCTCCCCACCGGTTCTGTGGGGGGCAAGGCGTAAAACAGGTAAGAATAATAACCGCTTCTTGTAACATTCTTAATACAATACCCTCAATTCGATAGGAAACTGAAACATAATTTCATCGTGTTGCTTATAATTGATATCCCTATGCAAAGTTTAGCCGCAAATATTCAAAACCTTTCTTTTTCTTACAAACTCCATCATGAATTTATCGCTTTTTTTCCGTTCGTCGCGATACAAGGAATTTCCATTAAAATGTTAGCTTTTCGTGTGCCTCTCAATGTGTGTGTGTATATATGAAAAGAAGTTTTTTTTTTATTTTTCGAAAGAGAAAAACTTTCAACGATGCAACAACCATGATTAATGGTTTACTTGATGATCAATGATTCGATTTCCTTAATCTCTTTGTTTGGCCTTGACTATTTCTCACTTTACATACATAGAGTTTATTATTGTTTACCAAACGCATCTTTCTATTAGGAACTTCAAATTGCATTGATTTATCAAAAATACATTGAAAAACATTTTTATTTTTGAAGATTCTTGAATTAAACGTAGTTTCTTCAACATACTTTTATTTATTATTTTTTTTATTAATGAATTAAATTGTTACAAATACTTTTCCTGAAAAACATTGGTATTTTACAATTTTAATTCAATTTTAGAATATTTTGTGTATTGATTTATCATGAAAATTTTTAACAAAAAACGTATGTATTGTTTTTTTTAAGAATCTTGAGGGTTCAATTAAATGTAATTTATGAAACGAGTTCTCATGTTCTTTATTTTTATTAAATTTCATTTCGCAACGATCCATCCATTTTAAGGACTAGACACTATATTTTGTGGCCTCGCATATTTAGTAATTTAATTTTGTGATCTTGACAAAAAAAAAACCACTGGTGAAGAAGAAAAAAAAATGCTGCGGTTGGAGTGATTTATACCAAAAACTTCCCCGTGCTATAAAACTTAACTGACGGCTTAACAATTTGCATATATAAAATTGTTATTTATTGTTTACATTTTTTTCTCTTTATTATTATTAAACAAAAAACAAAATTGATTAAACTGTCAGCAGGGTTCATCTTTATCAGTTATTTAAAATCATGATTTATTATATAATATTTGAAGAATTTACAGTTTATAGTAGCGTTTCTCAGAGAAATGACAGCTGTCACCATGTGTCACAGTGATAAAATGGTGAAATATCAAGTTATTAGGTCGCTATACTACTACAAACAAATATTGGGTGAAGTAAAATGTTCTGAGCGTTTTGTCCCATACATCGAGCTTCTTCTTGAGACCAGCCTTATGCAAATGGTTCCAAATGGTTTTCTGGCTAATCTTCAGTTCCTGGGCAATGGAATAAGAGCTCACATGCCGGTCCGACTCTACGATTTTGTAAAGATTTTTGACGCTTGGCCTACTAGAACGTGTCTCATCTTGGACGTCCATATTACCAGAATGGAAGCATTGGAACCAACGCTTTGCTGTTGCAGAATTTATAGTTTATAGCAGCGTTTTTCAACCTAGGAGTCATGCTAAATTGTTAATGGGTCGCAAAATGACAGCTGTCAGCATGTTTCAAAGCGAGAAAATGGTGAAATATGTAGCAATTTCATCGCTGTTGAACTATAAAGAAATATGTTAGGTCACACAGCTAAAATGTTAAGAAACGCTTAAATTTAATTTTAATACTGATTAATTATATATATTTTCATATATGTTTATGTATTTTATTTATCTGAAAAACAAGGTTTTTATTAATGGTTGACCAAAATTTACTAAAATACAATAATGAAATGAAAATCCAAATATTATATTCTATAGCTCAAATATATTTCTACAGTGAAATTTGTATCTACATGACAATTCAATTGTAGTGATATGATTTTAGAATTTGATTTTGTTCAGTCATGCTTCATTTTAAATTATTTTCAAAACTATTTATTCATTTCAAGGAATTTACTGATCTCGACAAATGAGAAAGAAAATAATGTGTTTCGAGAAATTTAAACTTTAAACATAATGTGACTAACAGTCATACATTTCCATTCCATTAGATATATACAAATCTTACTTTAAACATATTTAAAATTATTATTCTAAACCTGTTTTAATATTTAAATTTATAAAATAAAATTTCATGAGAACTATTAATATAAATATTTGTTACAAATAATGTAAAATGTAGGAAATTGTAATATTTTTCTAATAATCAACATAAAACATATGTATACATTTTTTTAAAAATTTTATTAAGAAAACAACGATTATTGTCAGTTTTGTGTTAGAATTAGGTAAATTGTAGTGGAAATATCTTAAAAATCAATTGAATCTCTTCTCGAGGATAAAGGAAATATGATGTAACCGAGCACGAGTTTCATGCACACGTACATATTGACTTGAAAGCAATTTTGTGTTCCACTTCTGCTTAGTGGAAATTGGAAACTGAGCAGGGAATATGAGCCGAGGCTTAGAGAGACGGAAAGAATACCACGGACTACCACGGTCTGCCTGTTCTCTCTCTATCCATCTTTCTCCTCACCATAATTTTTTCCATCGTTGTCCCTCCCTTTCCGTACATTTCCAGGCCATCGTCGAGCAGTAGTATTATATATTATGTCTATATATGCGTGTATTAATTTGAAGCGGAATTTAGTTGGGGATTTGTAATGTGCTGAGTCAATAAATAGATGCGCCCGAGTTCCAAGCCCTTATGGCCTCTGCGCTATCTATGGAGGCGTCAATCAAATCCCTATGATTAATCCGTTAAAAGCCGCAGGCGGTCGGTTTATCCGCGCTCCGGAGGCGTCGGCGACGGCTTCGGCCGCAACTCCTGGGTTATATAATGCAGGCAGAGCATTGTTCGCAGGAGAAAGAGGAACATCGGCCTGTGTTTAGTCGGCCTCCTAGCCCAGATGAATGCATGAACTTGTTAGTATTCAACTTTTGAATGCCTTTCACACGGCCTGACACCATCTGAAATATTTCAAGATCCGGCATTTCGACACACAAAGCATAAACAAACAACAGCACACAAAAATATGCTATTGTTATCGTGTTGAATATTCAGACACATCCAATGCATTTGATCGAATATCAGTCAGTTCTGTTTGATTCGTCCAGCAATCCTCAACAAGTTTATATAACAAAAATAGTTAATATTTTAATATATAAAAATTGATTTTTTTAGATCCGAACTAAAAGAATGATATTTTAATCGTAAGTCTAAAAAATGTGGGGCTATAAAATAAAAATTTGTGTCCTAAAAAATGAAAATTTTCGCATATGCAAAAATTGTAATAAGCCTTTATTTTTACTATACCATTGTTTTCAAATCTGCGGCGAGCTGGATAATACCTCTAGGCGGGCCACATTTGGCCCACGGGTCTTAGTTTATCCATCTATTAATTTATTATTAGTTTATTCCTATTCATTATATACTAAAAATTAAATTATCAGAAAGTATGTATTTACATTAATAAGATGTAAAATAAAACTGTGCAGTCAATATTGATCTCATGATTTTCTTTGAAATAATATAAAAAAGTTTACTATTAAATTTATTTCCATTTATTTACATAAATATTCAATTTCAAGAAATACAACATTTACATTTAGGTTATTTTAAGAATTCGCTTATTATCTTTATATATAAAATGTGTCCTTTCTTATAAAAATGCAGATTAATAAAATTTGTCATTTCCTTCAGATTTTTTATTAATTGATAATAAAAATACTTGTAAAATTTTGTATTATGACTATTGTATTTTGTTCTTATATTGTAAAATTATTTAAAATTTTCCATTTTTTTTTTATTAAAATTTATTCTTTCATGTTTTGCCGTAATGGCCAATAATTACATATACTAAATCAATAATTGTTTATGAATAAGCAAAGAAATTGAAACTTTTGTGTATAAACACATAAGATATGAAATATTTTTTGTTGAATTTATGTAGAGAAAATACAGAATAAATACTTTAACAAGAAAATGAATGAAACCTTTTTTAATAATTTTGGTTTATGATATTAAAATGTACAGAAAAAAGTTAAATTTATATAATTATTAAAAATATCTAATCAATATTGGATTGGCTTAAATATTAATAAAGCTTAGATTGTATATAAAACGTAGTTGTATATTGATAGGTGTTGATCTGTGATACACATGTACTACATCCAATCGATTCTTAAGCACCATTTGTTCGGAACCGCTGATCTGTGTATTTGTATATGATAAGCCTGAGGAATCGTGAGAGAATGTACCAGTTTTGTAGGCGTGAATGGGAGAGGGTCTTTCTTCTGTGTCAAGCTTTTGACGTCGTTCCGCAGGAGCTATTGATTCAATAAAGCACGGTTATCTGCACGGGGTTTTTGGAAAACAATATGTAAACTTGTTCCTTTGTGCGAATCGAAATGTATCGGTGTCGTCCGTCCTCTATGTGCTTTGTAACAAAACATAAACACGAAAACTAATCACAATCATAATAAGTGCATTTTCGCTTCAGTGCTCACCAATCTCTCTTCTATCTATCTCTTTTTTTTCTGTTTTATTTTTCTCTGTTTCAATACAGGACTTGTCTACAGCCGAAACGACATTTATTACAACCGGCTGGAACGACACAGCGCGAAAATTCATAGGTGTAAGTCTACTTGTCTAACTCTGTCCTTTTGTTCTAACAAATAATGATTGGTGTATGCAGCATGTATTAATCAACTTACAAATACTGTTATTATATAATTTTACTTATTTAAGGACTAAATTTACAAATTACAATAAATTCATTTATTAAATTTTCCTAACATTAAAAATAATTGCTCTGAAACCACAATAACTCTAAATCTGAAAATTAAAAAGTATAATTTTCTTCTTATTAAAAAATAATATTTCAATAAGATAAAAAGTGACATTTTACAATTAGTTACAATCTAGGACAAATAAGAGCGTTATTCAACTTTTTGAAGCAAGACCTAATATATTTGTTTGTAGTTGCTAAGAGTTTTTCACCAATTCCTGGCTAAAATGACAGCTGTCACAAAGTGTCAGATGACAGCTGTCATTTCGCGACCCAATTTTGAGTTGTGACATATAGGTTGAGAAATGCTGATCTATAATATTAACAGATTGTAAATAAACATATTTATTAAACTAAATATTGAAAGAAAATGATTTCTTTCTCTTATTTGATGATCTATAAAATAATAGACAATTTTATGATAAATTATATTTCCCTAATTTTCATTATGAGCATCTGACAAATTTAGATTTATAGATATTTTTTTCCTGATTCAAAATTCTTGGAGTTTCTCACCAATTTCTGGCAAAAATGACAGCTGTCACAAAGTGTCAGATGATAGCTGTCATAAAGTGTCAGATGACAGCTGTCACTTTGCAACCCAATTTTGAGTCGTGACATATAGGTTGAGAAAAACGCTGTTCTATAATATTAACAGATTGGAAATAAACATATTTATTAAACTAAATATTGAAAGAAAATTCTCTCTTTCTCTTATTTGATGATCTATAAAATAATAGACAATTTTATGATAAACTATATTTCCCTAATTTTCATTATGAGCAACTGACAAATTTAGATTTATAGATATTTTTTTCCTGATTCAAAATTCTTGGAGTTTTTCACCAATTTCTGGCAAAAATGACAGCTGTCACAAAGTGTCAGATGATAGCTGTCATAAAGTGTCAGATGACAGCTGTCACTTCGCAACCCAATTTTGAGTCGTGACATATAGGTTGAGAAACGCTGATCTATAATATTAACAGATTGGAAATAAACATATTTATTAAACTAAATATTGAAAGAAAATTTTATAATAAATTATATTTCCCTAATTTTCATTATGAGCAACTGACAAATTTAGATTTAAAGATTTTTTTTCCTGATTCAAAATTCTTGGAATTGCTGATAATCACGTCATTCGAACGTATTTCCAACGTTTTCCCCCAACGAGTTTACAAATCCAGAACAAATAAAATCACCTATAAAACTGTGAATATAGAGGAGAAGGAAGCACGTTTATTGCAAAATCGTGTGTAAAAACGAGGAGTGGCCTATATAATTTCTTTCACTTTTCGCATCATCGAAAGTCGCAATAAAATCATTTTTTTTATATTTCAACCGCAAAGAAACATTAAAATAGCCGCGTGGGTGTTAAAACTACTAAACGAAACTTTATGACGTTTCCCGCGATTTTCCGCTCAGTTATTTCAGCGAAGTTTCCACGAAAAACGCTCTGACGTATCGTTCAATTATTTTCCCCGGGAAAACAATAAGCAATGTAAAAGAGTGCAATTTTACTCCTGAGGAAAAACTCCGTATATAAGTCGCTTCTTCCCTCTTTTTCTTCACTTGGTCGCTAATAAATTGTCTTCGCGTCGCTTTTTCTCCATCGCGTGCACACAAATAGTTTTACGTCGAGGAAGAGAAATTCGTCGCCCTCTCCTTTTTTTTTCTTTCGTCCTGCAGGACCCATTTGTCAAAAGAGCCGGGATCAAATTGCCTCGCGCGACGAAATGCGGTATTATTCATGCCTAATTATATAACTCGTCCTTCTTTTCGCGCATGCAGGATGATGGGGATTTATGTTCCAAGTCGAGTATTAATTTAAATACCAGATTATGCGGTCTGCAATTAATACAGGTTTAAGTGCAGCCGTGGAAAAAGGTCTTGCGAATAAATATTGCTGACGTGCGGTATTTTCCATTTATCACTGCTTATTTCAGTAACTTTTCAATTTTAGCACTGTTTAAGTTCGGATAAAAATGCATGTTTTTTTTTTGTGTGAAAACATTATTTCGAGTGAATCAAAGCTCTGAGTCACTCACCCAAAAATTCTACGAATTGTTTTCCAAAGATTCGTGAAATTTTACTACAGTTTTATCATTGAAATTTTCTTATTGTATTTCAAGAATAATCTCATACTAATTCTTAGTATTAACACAACAAATTTAATCAATAATTTCTAGATTATTTGAGGTGTCATAAAAGTAGCGTTACGATTTTGTTTAACTGTAATTTATTTTCTTTTAGGGTTATGTTAATATTAATAAAGTAATGTTTTTTCCTAACATTTCAAGAAATTACAATATCAATTTTTACCTTTAATGCAAGATTATTTCATAGAAAAATGTTCAGTATTATTGCAACATTTATTAAAACTTTTTTTAAATTATAACTTCCTTGAGTGATGTAATGTTAAATGCTTATGATAGCAGAAATATAGCATATGGAATGTGGATGTTTACCACTTTTAATTGGAACTAATTCGTTGTCCGCCTTTGAGTTATGTAGGTAGATAGGACCACGCGAATTATTTCTGGATGCACGCTTTGACACAAATCTGAGAGTGTGTGTACTTCTTTCATTTTTTTTTTCTTTAAGCCAAAATCCAATTATAAAATCTTAATATAAATTAAGTGCATGTTGCAAAAGACATGCACACATGACCATTCGATGCCAGAAATGTCTTTGTACGTTTTAGTAAATAAGTAATTAATAATACAATACACGAGAAAGGATGAAAGATTATTTTGTATATATTTTTCGTTAAGCCAAAAAGCAATTACAAAATTCTTAATATAAATTTAGTGCATGTTTCAAAAGATACAAATCTGACTACTTGATGCCAGGAATTTTATTGAACGTAAATAAATAATTAATAATAAAATAAACGAGAAAGGATGCAGCAATATTTTGTATATATTTTGACTTAAGCCAAAATCTAATTATAAATTCTTAATATAAATTAAGTTTAAAGTGTTTTAAATAATCATTCATTGAACTGTTCAGTAAATCATTATTTATACACGAAAAACGATGTTGAATTTTTTTTTGTAAAATATTTTTTTCTTGAAACCAAAATGCAATTAAAAAATATTAATGTTAATTAAGTACAAAAGAAAGCAAAAAAAACATGACCATTCAAAATGTCTTCTAAACTTTTCTATAAATAAATATTAATAGTTTAAAACGATTAAAGAATAATTTTTAAGGTAGTTTTGGTACGTAAAATAAACGATTTTGAGATCTGAACACATAACTAACGTCGTCGAATTCGTTAATTAAGTAAATCCTGAGATCACAATCTAGTAGTTAGCTTTTACCGTAATTGACTAATTATATAATAAGCTGACTCCAGACGTATATAATAAGCTTTTATTGTAAGCTTATGTACAAAAAATAGAAGATTTTGCAAATCTGCAATAATTAGAATCGATTTTTTACAAACTTGTTATTAACATTTAATTAATTACATTCACTATATTTTTATTTATATTAATTGATTTCTTTAATTACTATATTTTTTTCTATATTGAACAAAATAGTATTTTTTTTTTACAATATTGCCTAGTTTTTGATTTAACGTGCAAGAAAAAAAAATCATTTTTTTAACAAGAAAATTTACATTTCTTTGTACAATTTTTCTACAAGTATTTTGTACTTTTTAATACTACTTTTCTTTTTAATATTAAATTAAAACAGATACATTTTATATAATTATCAATGAATAAAAGCATAAATTATGTCTTGAGTTTATTTGTATTGTCTAGTTTTTTGTAACTAATTCACTTTTTAATATTAAACAAATGGATCATTTTTATATAATTGTTTTATTTTTAATTAAATAGAAAATAGACACTTTTTGTACAAGTTTTGTCTAACTAATTCTCTATTTAATATAAAATTAATAAAAGCGAAAATTATATGTTGAGTTTTTTTTTAAGAAAATAGTCACTTCTTTTGACAACTATTTTGTAGTTTTAATATAACTAATTTCATTTTCAATATTAAACAATTAGATCAATATTATATAATTGTATAAAAGCAAAATTTGTATATTGTTTTTTGAACATTTGTTGTTAATAATAAAATAGATATTTGTTATACAAATATTGTTTTGTTTTGATATAACCAATTATTTTTTTAACATTAAGAAATTAGATTAATTTTATTCAATTATAAATGAATAAAAGCAAAAATTATATATTTTATAAAGAAATTTTAATTAAATTATAGAAAGCTATTTGTATACGTTTTTTACGCACTAATTAATATAATTATTGTTACGTAGTGAAAAAAAACAAGTAATTGGGTTGAATATTCTCGATAAAATCTGAGAATCTCTCGCATAAATATTAATGAAAATGCCAGGCAAGCATATTGATTCGAGTTCGAGTGGACGTCATGCGAGATGTTTAATTAAATTAATTAATTAGTTAATTTATAGTCGAATTAATGACTCCGTGCGCTATTCGACACCAGAATTTAATACATATCTGCCGTTCTCCGTGTGTTATCCGCATGATGTTTATCGACAAGTTAATATTGACATAGACATTGCAATTACTATACGTTATCCTTTATGAGGAAGTGTGACACACACACACACGCACATACACTCGCACTAACAGCAAATTTCCAGAGGCGAAGCTGAAACAACAATACCCGCACATTTCTTTCAAACTTTCATTTTCATATCTTTCTTAAGTCTAAGTTCATTTTTTACAACATCCAAAGACAATACACGATGGAAGAGAAAAATAGAAGAAAGGTTACAAAAAAAAACTGACGATGAAAGTAAATAAGAAAGTATCAAAAGATACAAATCTGACTTTATGATGTCA